AATTATGTGAATATAAGCAAAGCTTCTCTAAACTCATAAATAATTTTAATAATACGAATCATAATTCCATAACATCTCTAACCATATGTTTATAATTTCGTGGTCCCCTTGACCAATTAATATATTACAATTAATTAAGGTTTTTAGTTGAGATAAAAATGTCAATGGCACATATGTTTATAGATTAACAGCCAATTTAAACTATATGTTAATGAGCTTACGATAAACGTACAGAGAAAATTGTAAAATTTTTAAATTTCTGACAAATAAATTCTTCTGACCGCCGGTCTCCCTCAGGTACGGCGGGGTGGTGGATGGGATAAAAAAATATTCTTGGATAGTTACTAGTTTCAAATCTCTGTGCAGTCGGCTGTAGCGAACAAAACATAGCTTTGCTTCTATAGGTCAGACTCATTTCGGTATTTCGCATCTTCAGTGTTTAGGTGATTTCTGTGGCGTTTTAATTACGAGGTCGTAGGTGATCCCTAAATACTGAAGATGGGAAAATGCCGAAACATGTCTGTACTAGCAAAATTCAGCGAGGAAGAGTAACTGTGGAACAACAGTTTTATCGCCTTGCAGACCACAGGAGAAAATTTTTCAATTTACCTCTACACATAAATAATTATATTTTTTTAATCCAAAGTGAGATTAATAGATAATAGAATTAATAGATGAAAAAGCTACCGTTACGTGTGGGATTCGAACCCACGACCTTCGGCATCATAAGTCGGCGAGAATCGAATCCTATTTACAAAATACGACAAAAAGAGAAAAAAATTCGAGTGGATCGAAGTCACGATAACTCAGTTGGTGGCAGCGGCGTATTGAGCCGAAGGTCGTGGGTTCGAATCCTGTCGTGACGCTAGCTTTTTCATCTCAACAAAGACCTTAGATAAAAAGTATAATTAAGTAAAATAATTAATAGGTCTATTGTGACTACTAATACACATATGGATATATACATAATATTTTATTGTGAAATATTTGTACGTTGTATTCGTATTTTATTTGGAAATGCACTGCAATCTGGACGTTCGGGTTGTAACTGTGGGGCACCGCCAAACCTTCCAACGTCCAAAGAATCCACTCCTTCCAATCCAAAGTCTTTAGAAACATAGTCAATTATCCTCACTATGTACAACACCCTTCACAACGGCCTCAAAATCCCTTTGGTGCAAAAAACAAAACTTCCCAAAACATTTTCCACTTTTCACAATAAACTTTCCTCTTTCTCCGGTCGACTTGCCCAATCTTTATCCATTAGCAACTACCCCTATAACCCACCAGACTTCTGAAGAGATGGCCTCGCGACCTACTGAACGCGGATTAGTCCTCGCGTATAGCTGGGAGAACAACGATGGTTGTTAAATCCCCTCACGACATATGATCCATGTCATTTGTAAATTTAACTCATTACATGTCGTAAATAATGTTACAGATTGTAATAAATATTAAATAAAAAAAAATAAAAAAATACACAGATACATTGGTTATCCAAGTCGAAGCATGACTGTGAAGGCTTTTAGCGTAAGCTCTCTATACTTGAATTTTAGATTTTAATAAGGACCCTGCCAAGTAAATTGACGGCCACGTATCCATAATGCTGCTGAAGATGTTTTTAATTCTGTTTTATCAATTATAGTGCCAGTGGTATTATAACGTTCGTAATCATATAATGTAAAGGATGGGTTTTCATTAAATTCATAGTTATTATATTTAGATTTCCGGTATCTGGCGATAGACTGAATGGTTTGTTCTTAGTGATATCGATCCCTAATACTGATCTGATGACCGACAGATATATTTAAGTTAGATCTAAAGCTTCCTATTTGTAGGGTAGTAATAATTCAGAGAATAACCTTAACTATTCTTTATTGTTTTATCACTAATTATAAAATGACCGATGTAAATTTTCTATCGACGCAAAAAAAAATTGTAAATTTTGTTGAATTTATGGGTTGCCACCTTAAAATTGGTGCGATTGGTGCGAACTTTGGCTTTCATAATGTTTAGTTTTGGATCACTGTAGAACATCAAGGCCCCTTTCTTTATAAGGCCGGGGGTATGGGAATCATATCCCGAGCTCCCTCTGAGCCGTTTTCGGTAAAACAATTAAAATTCAACACAAAGTGTTGCGGGGGCAGGCTAGTATGTAAATCGAATTTACGGTCCGAATTAGGTGTACGGCGGGAGGCGTTTCGACAATTTTTCATAAAATACCTTTTCTAGCTTTCTCCAGTGATGCTGGCACTAAGAAAAATCAGCATACAAAGTTCTACCAAGTAGCTTCCTTTTTTGATAATTTAAAGTCTTAATTGTCATTATTTAAATAACTAACTGAAGCTCATGCAAAACTAGGTTCGTTCTATCCCATTGTCAAAAGGAAGGAAAAACATTTACCTCGGTCATTTTATAACTAAGTGATCAAACAATAAAGAATAGTTGAGATTATACGATGATTATTACTCTATAGATAAGAAGTCTTGAATGTAACTTAAATATACCAGTGGGTCATCAGATCTGTGTTAGGGATCGATATCACTCAGAACAAAATAAAGCTTTCACAGTCACCCTCGACTTGGATAGCCATTGAATCTCTGTAATGCAATATTTATTGCAATCGTTAAATTTACAAATGACATAGATCATGTGTCGTGAGGGTAGTTAACAACGATTGTTGTTCTCCCAACTATACGCGAGTACTAAATCCTCTTTTAGTAGGTCGCGAGGCCATCTCCTCTTCAGTCGTCTGATTGGCTTATAGGGGTAGTTTCTATTGGACTGGTTGAGTGAAGAGTTTATTATGGAAAGTGGAAATGTTTTGCGAATTATTTTTTGCACGAAAGGTATTTTGGGGTCGTTGAGAAGGGTGTTGTTGGAGACGTAGTAAGGGGCATTAAATACGATTGTGAGGACTTTGGATTTGAAGGACTGTATTCTTTGGATATTGGAAGTGTTTAGTGGTGCCCCACGGTTATAGACCATACGTCCCGATTGGTTTTAATATTGTCTTGTAGATTGTCATTTTTTTCCGTTGAAATGCAAATTTGCTCGCCAGTAGTCTGTAGAGAGGTCCGAAACGTTGGTTTAGTGCCTGTCGTTTTAGTCGTGTGTGTTGGTTCCAGGTTAATCTTGAGACTATTAGCGGACGCAGTCCGTTTTTAGGGAGAAGTATTGAGGAGTATTGTATAAGGGGTTTTCCGTCGAATGGTTAATGATAGATGTCCGTTTTTGCTTAAATTGAGCCAGTGTTTGCTACGTTCGGCTATTTTCAGAACATGTGCCTGGAGCTCCTCCGAAGCAATTGTCGTATGAAAGAGTAGCACATCGGTTTCTGCAAGGATGGTGGAAGGTGAAGTTGAAATATCTGCATTGTAGAGGAGTTAAAGGATCGACAAGTGCATCGCCCTGAGCCACTCCAGCTGTCAGGAATAGTCGGAGTAGGCTGAGCCTTGGCGGGCTCTATCTTTAAAATTAAAATTAAATCTCACCGTGACGCAATATTTAAAACCATCCTGTACACGAGGAATCGTTTGAAATAATTGATTGATCATAGTAATGAGAGGAGCAGCAGTATTTCCCAGCTAATGATATCATCCCGATTACCGCTGAAACTATATCCAACAAATTGTCAGCTAGTCGTTAAACCACAGTGATTTATTTTTAACCATTTCTAGACCCACATTCTTTATTAAAATGCGGTCGGGTAGTGAGAGGATTCTGTTCTGAGATGATGAAGACCGTGATGGATACTAGGAAGTGGGTTGTTGTTCCCCAAGCACTGCATCTTCTGGCTTATTGTACTTTCCTAGTTCCCTAGTTCAGTGCAATTAATTCGATCATCTCTTAAGAAGTACTAGGCCATTGAAAGACTACAATTCGTGTCCTACATTGCTACATGGTACGACGCATTATAGCTACATTCTGGTTTGTATATTGTACCCTTTATCCATATTGAATTGGGTACATTTCTTGATTACGCGAACCTCAGCTTGAAAGATACTGGTTATTTTCCCACGGGTTCTGAGTATTTGTTCCAGGACTGTGTACTCCTGGCTCGTACCTTCTAGCGTTCTAGATCCGTCTGTGTACCAGATGATGGGGCCATTCTTAAAGGAAGCATTTTTCCCTTTTCTCATTCTTTTTTGGTACCTAAGTTTATTCAGAAATTTTGATTAAACTCAAACATCCTGTCCATGTCATCTCTTGGGTCCATGAGTGTCAGTTGGTCATCCATTAGTCTATTGTTATCACTACATTTTAGTTTTATTCATATTGGAGGTTTCTTTTTGATAATACTAATGATAGTTTTCTGTGCTGTCCTCATTTCATTCAGTGGGGGGATTAATACCAGTATCTTGTCCATACAAGCTGTGGGCCATGTCTTCTCCCATTATACAGATGCATGCAAGTCTCGGTATTTTTGAGTTCTCTTCGTATTTTATTTGAATATCATGTCGTCTCTTGGAGTATTGGCCAAGAGTATCGAATGTATGTATCTTCATTAGTCTGTTGTTATCTCTCCAAATCTTTACATTACATTTGCTTTAACTCTCCTAAAAATATTTTCTAATTTGTTAAGTTATTGATGATAAATGAGGCCACGAATACAGTAATTAATAGTGATCGATAGTAAGGTTTTAGAATATATTACAATTAACGAGATACTAAAAAGACAAAAGTAGAAAAATAAAGTACAACTTTTGAGAGACTTTTCGTAAAATTAAAGTCGTTTTATAAAAAAAATGCCAAATAAATATCGACGAGTAAATTGTATAGTTGTAAAAGGGTTTAGAGGTGTCATTGTTGTAATCACGTTCCGAAAATGGTTTAATGAGTGCAGTTTAGTGGTAAAGTGCAGATTGACCACAGTGCACAAATCACAAGTGGGCACAGTCGACATAGGGACGATATGGACAATAGACTATGGAGGGGATGCGCCCCTCTCTCAGCGACTTGAGCCTCTTTCGGGCCCGGAGGACCCAGTCAGGCTCGGATCAACTACCCGTTAGCACATAAGTCCTACTGGGAGTCAAGTCACCGAGGAAAAAATCTGACAACGGTTTGTAAAAAGTGCCCCGAGGAGAGAGAGGTACAAGTAGACAGGATGATAGTGTATCCGCCCTCGCCGAATCGGCCCAACAAGCGCACCGTCGTCCAGTGGCGGCAGACCAACGTCGAGGAGGGACTCGTCCGCACTGACAAAGACATGCTCAACAAACTTGTCAAAAGAGAACCGATCGAAAAATATTACAAACTCGACCCTGCACCATTTGCCAAGTAAGTGTATCAATAAAAAATAATAAACACTCATACTCAGCAAAATTGCACACAGCTATCAATTTAATTAAGCACAATTCTCTAATAGTCAATCTCATGTCCAAAAGGATGATTCGATTGTTTTTAAGAATATGCGCTCATTAATGATTGATTATTTTTGTGTTAACACGAAATAATTTTTCGAGTAAAAAAGCAATTATTATTATGAGGAATTAATTACCTCATTGATTACCTCATCATTAATTACCTCATTTATTATTCTTGAAAAATGTGTTTATAGTGGCGTTATAGTTGACATTTAGACATAAAGCGAATAAGTTAAACCCGAAAAGTTTCGCTCACAAATAAACAACGCTCACTTTTTTCAATGGCAACTATCCTACTACACTTCATTCCCTCTGCTAGTGATTCGACCTTTCTTCTGACACGTTGTACATAGAATAGAGGGAAGTTACCCTAAGAAGTAAACGACAATACGTGTACACATTTCATATTATTCATTTTTTAAGCGCACATTGATTCATGACGTGATCGTCGATAATAATCTAGCGATAATTGAGAAATGGGGTTGAATTCGAGGCGATTACTCGGTAAGTGGGAGCCAGCTGTTCGCAGACTGTGTCAATGCCGCTGTACCGCCTCTAACGTAATGAGGTTCGTTAACCTACAATTCAAACCACTATTTTCTTTTAATGAAAGGGAAATCCATTTGTTTTTATGCATCGCTTGGTAAAATGTTCAAGATTTTTGAAAAATTCCCAATATCCTAAAACATCGAATAACAAGTGGGAACAATCGAGTCAACTTGCCACTTCCAAATGCTTTCCTTCGCTTTTTGCCCATTTGATAAAAATGAATTGATTTGAATTGATAAAATCATCCTTCTACATTTTGTTCTTAATCTAATAAATCCTTGCATTGAGTCTTAGCATTAGCTCGAAAAGAAACAAGAAACAGTCGTAAACCTTTTTTTGACATTCAATTTTACATTAACGTTTTAATATTTATGCGTGTTGGTAGACAATTCCATTTTTATTTTATTCTCCTATAAGAGACTCAAATGACAAATTCAGCATATATTTACTTAATACATTATCTGTAGTATGTACAATGTTATAAAAAAATAAGGAAACATGTACAAAACAAAAAAAGATTTGTTTATTATGAGCCCTCGTAATCATACATATGGCTATTTATGAATATCGCTAGATAGTTTCAACGACTTAGGTCCGGCAAATAAGACAACATGCACAAAATAGATTAATTCAAATCTCTCTCTCCCTCCCTCCCTCCAACCATATCTCTTTCTTTCGCACACACACTATCTATCTCATTCTCTCCGACCATCTCTCTTTCTTTCTTTCTCACTCTCTCACTCTCTCTCTCTCTCACACACACACACACACACACACATTCTCCCTTTCTTTCCCTTTTTGTTTACACGTACCTAAGGCACTTTTGGAGGAGGCTCGTTAGTGAGACGCCTTCGACTTTAGTGCCTTCTAATTGGACGTCGTCAGCGGACTCGACTGTAAACAAAAATTAAACACTCTGAGAAAGGCCGAAGGTGAGGCCTTGAAAAAATTATATTCCCATTTCTGACGGGAGGAGGCGCCTTGAAAATCGGAGGAAGATCTCATTCGATCCTTTGTCATGCTATCCGACGATCTGCCAGCGTGTATCCAGTCGCAAATGATAATGAAACAACCGTCTGTTGAAATAAAATTTAATGGGGCGGTTGTTAAGTGTGATGAACACCCCGGCTGCGATGAGGTTGAGAAATATATTCCGTCACGTACGAAAAAAAGTGTTATATGAGATAATAATAATGCGGGGAGGACCTTGGGCCGGTGATTTGAACGACGGAGCACAAAGTGGAGCAGGGGCCGCGTTAATGAATAACAGCCTTTAAACGTCCCCAATTAATCCTGTTTACCATCGAGTTTGGACAAGCGGCGCATTAATTTGCTTGTTTAGAGATTTTATCTTTAGAATGCCGCTCCTCGTTGATCCGGCACCTTTTCCTTTCGTCGTCCCGACCCGGTGAAATGCGAAACGTTCATGGCCCAAGGAAGAGCCGTCGACGAAAACCGGCTGTCCATTAAAAAAAGCTCGTCTTCAATATGCAGACGTCAACGTTCAAAAGTCGTATTTTAAACGGCTTAACGTACATTTAGTCGTAAGGTCATAAAAACGTTTATGAGATTAGTAGAAGGAAATCATAGCCCATTTAAACTAGTATTTTTCACTCGAGATGAGATATTTTCGCATTGAATTCGTTTTTAGCGGGCTTTGTTGCAAACCTTGTGGCTATTTGAACTTTGTTTCCCACGGAGATTTGATCAAATAACCGATTGTAGAACTGAAATGCATATCGATCAATAAACCTGACGAATGGTAATATTTAAATACCACGGAATTCGTAATTTTTTGTGTGGCATTAAAAATTTTTATCGGCCAAAGTCGATTGGATTCAGTTTTTAATATTTTCTAAAAATAATAAATATAAATAAATATAGATAAATGTATATTAACAATTAAAATCAATTAATCATCAATAGATATATATTAATAAATAATAAAATTAATAAATATAAATAAGCATTTACTGTGATATTATAAATTATTTAAAAAGGCACTCGTAAATGTCACCGTCTCTTGATGCCAGTAATGTTTCTAATATTGTAAATTAAATGGATGCCCTGTTGAAGACTACACATAGCTTGATACATCATCGCCCTCTTCGCAGAGCATCATGTTGTGCCGCAGATCTTCAACCTCAACGCATCGCAACCTCATACAATACTCCTGAGTGACCTCTTACCTCCCTCTTAGCATATGACTGCTTTTTAATATTTTTATGGACAAGTTGTGCATTTTTTTGATAACCTAAATTATGAGGTATTCCACTTTGTGTTTTGGGGTAGGTGTATGATGCATATTTTGTTTGCATCTATGCTTACAACGTATTCCAACGATTTTATACTGAAACTACCTCAGCCGTAAATAAAGAAAAAATTGTTGGGGTGAGTGCATTGTAGTCGTGGTTTATTTTTAAGTCAAAAAAGCACAACCAAGTTGACCATTTTCAACAGAACAGTCGATTAGAAGATTAGTCGATAATTTAGGAAACCATTCACACCTGCTCGGACATCATTTCCGCTAAATTTGGTTCGTTATTTATGCTTACGTACAAGTCTGAATTTTCGGAAGAAATTTTCTCTTCACATTGATACACAAATTCCAGTTTCCAGTCTACTAACTGAAACAGAAACTGCCTTTAATATTTAAAAAAAAAAATATATATATATTTATATATTACGACTTGGTTTCCATATATAAATACGAATTCATTTATGCGTTGGTGTTATTATTATAACGTTGGTTTTTTAAAAAGCAAAAGTCAAATGAACTGACCAAAGTTATTTTCAATCCTAATGGGCTTTATTGTGTACTAACTCGATCGTACGACTATAAGACTCTTCTGACAGGGTCGGGTAGCAGATTCAGCGCTCATTCCGGTAATATAAAAGGCTTGAAATATGTAACAGGTTATTTCATCGAACTTTTCGATAGGCACACCTAGGCGAAACGGTAGAGCAAAGAGTAAATCTTGAAGAGTGGGATTTAGAAATAATTCGACAGGGGTTTCGACACTCACCGATTGCACAAATTGTCAGCACAAAGATGGTGAAAGTTGAGCGAAAATTAAGCGGCTTGCTGCAGGTAGCTCGGAAGCAGCTCTCACTTGACATCTGGCATATCTCGTCTTTCGACGTCGGAAGAATGCGGTGTAAAAAGAGCAAGGGCAAATGCCTATGTATTTACAAACGTTGCAAAGCGAGCGGATTTCTTTTACAGTTCTGCCTTTCATGTGTCGTACGTCGGTAGGACGTTAGGTGATGTAACTGGTTTTAATTGTAACCGATCTCTTCCTCAAGGCTGCAAGTGCAATGAGAGACACCGCTTAAGACTCAGTTCGAGCAAATACCTTTCCTCATCAGATAACATATTTCTACATGTCTACGTCCTGGTAATTACGAATGGGCTATTCTCTCTTGCCGATAAACGGCTTAATTAATTCTTAGCCTGTTACATTATAAAGTTTACTCAATACTGGTACTGAACTGTCCAAATCAATTTTGACGAAGATGAAATTCAAAATCTCCTTTGTTATGAAGGAGTCATCTCCACGTTTGCCGAAGACACGGCTATCCTTTCTTCTCATTCCAGCCCATGCTATCTGCAAAGTCACCTTACGCTATTAGATTCCAGGTACCTCAAATGGAGAATCAATGTGAACGAAAGCAATTGTGCTCTCTACTTACGCACTCAAAAGCCTTTTTGCCCTCTACGGCTGAATGACATCCTGACTGGTAACATAGTACCATATCTGGGCTGTACATTGATAAAAGACTGAAGAATCCACAAATTCGCCCGAAACGACAAGGGATGAACCGTGGTACAAACTCTTACTGAGTCTACTTGACCAAAGATGTAACCTTAACAACAAACTGACCATTTACAAAATTCTCATTCGTTCGATAAAGGACCTACGGAGTGGAAGTTGGGGCTCAACCGAACATTCCAATTCATCCTGTAATCAGTCTCTCCAATCCGAAATCCTAAGAAAAATCCTTAATGCTCCCTTCTACCATTAAAACTATTCACACTGACTCAATATTTCCATTCGGTCACGACCTTGTAAGAAATCGTTATCACCAATTCTACAATACCCTTTGTGCACACCCAAAAGCCGTAGGGTTAAAACTTAAAGCCAAACAACTTTCCACACTAACCCTACCTGGAAATCCATTCACATCCTCGGCTGAATAGGCCATGGCCTAGGAATTTGCTTCAATGATGTGTGTGTGTGTGTCACCAGTGGGTGGTTTCTCCCATCATGTTTAATTATATACTATGAACAAACAAATTTGTACGCGAACATTTTGACATTTCCTCTTCTTTTGCAAACCGTCGCTTGAAATTCACCCATTTAT